CTTACAGAGTATGTTCCTGGTACTTACAGAGTATGTTCCTGGTACTTGCAGAGTATGTTCCTGGTAGGGTAGGAATCATGTCTTGCATTGTCGCTGAGGTTACTTTTACACACTTTCAGGATCAAATGAGAGTCAGATGATTAAACTACTGACATTATAGAACTATAAAAAAAATTAAAAGCATTTTCTTAGAGTAGAAAAGTTTATTTGTATAAATATGCAAAAAAGAAATTCATATTAGGACCACGTGTTGTTGAATGTTCTTCGAGCTGTTTTTTTTTTTAAACGATAAAACAAGAAAATCCACATTTACACTGCGTACACATTCACGGTACATTTACACGTTTCCTGCTAAAAACCGTAACAACACGCGTGTTCTAAGCGTACCGCTTTTGATTTGATTGGCAGCGAGCAAACTTGAGAACGCTGGTAGTCGAGCATTTTACAGCATTGATGATAAACATTAAGAGATGGGCCGGACCCGGAGCACCCAGTACACCAAGAATATTCAAAAAGGCTGACAATAAATAAAGAACAAGTACCAACTACAAACTCCTGAGACGATACTGCCACTGTAATACTGATACAGAGTAAACAACTAATCTCCTGCGGCGGAGACGTCACCGAGCTCCACTCGTCACAAACTGGGTTCAAAAACAAAACGGCAACATGCAGAACAACAAAAGCAACAATAAAACTACGATACAAAGAACAAAGTTCAGTTCGATTAAACACTGAGATCTTCTGTCTGATGATTTGTTTCAACTTGTGCTGAAGGACGGCGACTGAAGCCGAGCGTCGTTTCTCCCAGGGTTCCACCGTGACGGGTTAGGATGATGGAAAAACAGAGGAAAGTTATTTTTATTTTGAAGTTTTCAATAAAAATAACTTGTTAGTGTAAATATATTCAATTATACTGACGGAAAAATGGAACAATTTAGACTTTCTGTCCAAACGGTTTCTGCCAGAATTGAGACGATTGTTCAAAACTGCACCTTTTTCCAGTCAAAATTGTGACTTAAAAAAAAAAATTTAAAATAAAAATTGCTACTTAAAAAAAAAAAAAAAAAGTCAAAATCTGAACTTTTTTCTGTAAAATCTGCAACTTATATTGTTTAAATCGAGACTCATCAGCCAACTTATCATCTTTTCCATCAAAATCCAACAAAGTTAAAATCAGGTCTGGACGGTTTCTTTTGTTGTTGAAGCGTTTCGTCCTTCATCCAAAGGACTTCTTCAGTCCGAGGAGCCACAACAAACTCAGTCCCATAAGTGGCTTACTCACATGGTGGGCCAACCAGTTTGATGGTGATTAGATGGTTTCTGGAGTCCACCCTCTCCCCCGTGGACTCCTCTGAGGCCGCCATGGCCCAAGTGGTTCAAAACATCAAAGTTCATGCTCAATAATCCAGGTAAAAAACTGGCCGCTTATGGGACTGAGATCGTTGTGGCTCCTTGGACCGATGAAGTCCTTTGGATGAAGAACGAAACGTCTCAACAAAAAGAAACCGTCCGGAGGACCCGACTTAACTTTGTTGCATTTCTTTTTAATCTGGATTATTGAGCATGAACTTTGATGTTTTCCATCAAAAGTTCACTTTGTTTTAATTCAAGACTGAAATTTTTTTCTGCCAATAACTGAACTTTAATCTCAAAATAATTTAAATAAACTTCATAACCGCTTTGTTTTCTTCTGGCTTTAAGACTGTTGCAGGATTTTGTGGCTCATTTTAGCAGCCGAAGACGTTAACAGGTTCACCGCTCCGTCGGCTATTAGTGCAGATTATTATTTTATTTTTTTGTTCATGCGAGATCCTCGGCTTTTAGCCTCGGCTCATCTGAACGCTCCACTTTGTCAAACAGACGTTAGATTGTGCGATTTCTGTAATCCAAGAACCAGCTGGAACCGGCAGAGGCGCCGACCTGCCGGTCCTTCAGAGTCTGGTGTTGGGTTCAGGGGCCTCCCGGGCCCTGCCGGGGCCCTCAGACGGTTCACTGGGGACGGGGTCTTCTGTCTGAGCCGAGGTGGTCTCTGAGCCCGTGTTGCTGTCGCTGGTTCCCTCCTCCATGACCCCCTCTGGGACGCTCTCCTTGTCCTCCGACGCCCCCTCATCGCTGCCGGGGGGAGCATCGAGCTCCTCCGACGACTTCTGCTTCCCTAAATTAAAAACCAAATACGATTAATTATCATTTAAATAAATAATTCATTCATTCATTCAACCTTTATTTAAACAGGCGAGTCTCACTGAGCCACGAGGACTCATGTACAAGAGCCAGAGATTTATTTATCATACACACCACATGACGGACACGAGGTGGGACGAAACGAAGAGACCTGACACGACGTATAAACTACAGACAACAATAACAGTAAACAATGACAACAATAACAGTAAACAATGACAACAATAACAGTAAACAATAACAGTAAATAATGACTACAACAAACTGCAGTTAAAATAAGAGTAGTGTATAAAAACAATAAATCAGAGTGCCGTAAATAAAACGAGAGATCAGATTATATTAGAGCTAAAAATCAGATTAATACAGACAACACAGACTTGTCCTGACTGGACACACGAAGTCATGTGACTCGACAGAGACCCACCTGGTGTCTCTGCACCATTTGACTCGGCGTCCTCTCCCTCCTTGCTGCTGCTCAGGTTCTGAGGGTTCGGCTGAGACTTTTTGCCATGTGTGGCACAAACGTGTTTGTCCTCCTCTGCCAGGACGCACGACAGTGTCCCTTTGGCTCCTTTGTCCCCCGAGTCCTTGTCCCTCTCAGCGATGCGTTTGCGTGCCACCTCCTCTGCTGCAGCGAGCTCTGCAGAAATCTTCTCCATGTCCACCTCCACCTTCATGCAGCACAGCTGAAGGAACAAACAAACAGACATTCTGGCTGTTTCTTTTACAGAAAGCAACAGCTAAAAGTTGATGGAGCTGAACCTAAAAATACAGTAGCTAAAAGTTAAAACTAACAAATCACTATCTGACAAGGAAAAATGTGGCTAAAAAGTCAAAATCAAAAAAGCAGCTAAAGCATAAATTATTACAATCAGTGTCTAAAATATTTAATTAGCAAAACAGTAGGTAAAAGCTAATTTTATTAAATTAGCAGCTAAAGGCTAAAACTATTTTTCAAAAGAGCAAAAGAGCTTAAAACTAAAATTGATACAACAGTAGCTAAAAGCTAAAAATGAAGCGAGTTTTGCTGAAGCAGATGTTAAAAAGCACAGAACTTTAATGATCTGAAGATACCTTCAAGTATTTTTATGGAGAAAGTTTTGTAAATAAAAGTAAACATTTAAAAAAGGATAAAAATATTTAAAAAACAAAGATTGCGGCTAAAATGTTCTGAATGAGCCGAATGTTTTTGATAAACTAAGGGTTAAAAACAGTTGAAAACAAGCTGATGTGTTACATCTAGAAGAAAATTAAATTTTACTTTTGTCTCCTGAACCCCTGCAGCTGAGAGAAAAGATATGCACGTGGAAGAGCAGCTCAGGTGTTGGGCTCATGTTCAGCTGTGCTTTGAAAAGATGCTGGCTGAAGGCTAAATGGCTCCCCCTGCTGTAAACACCACATGCTGCACCCAGAGCTCTGATGGAGGTCGTGAATAATAAAACCTGGCAGCTCTGGGACTCCCCCGCCATGTGGATGCAGTTAGCTGCAGCTGGCGGCTCGAGCTGCATGCTGCATGTGAGCCGAAGCTCGCGTGTGAGAGAGCAATGACCCAAGCCGATGGAAAAGATGCCGTACCCGTTTCAGCTCGTTGTTGAAGGAATCTGTAGCTTCGATGAACTTTCTCTTCTTGTCCTGGTGCCGGTCTTCGATCTGCAGCAGCTCCGCCTCCAGTTTTCTCTGCGACACAAGACACGCAGGCGCCGCACGTTAAAACACCGAGCCGAACCGAGCCGTCGGCGCTCCCGTTTCTGCCGCTCGCTCTCACCTGGTGCACCATCAGGGACTGGACCTGCCGCTTCAGGACCTGCATGCGGGCCGTGGTGACGACGGAGCGCACGTCCGGGACCACGCTCTCGCTGAGGATCTCGCTGATCAGACGATGGTTCCGCTGGAAACGGGCCGCGGCCGAATGTTTGACGGAGAAACCGTCGTCGAATTCTGAGGACACGAAACAGATCAGAGGAAGAAGAGGCTGGAGGGACAACACACACACACGTGACAAACACACAAACATACATTTCAGGACTGAATAATTTCTTCAGTTGATAAAATCAAAATGTTTAAAGTTTAAAAATACATTAAAAAGTGTTTAAATAATGACCACTGACCATCACCGCTCTAACTTCCCAATTTTCACAAGCTTGATTTACAAACCGTTGTATTGCTCAGTTTCACATTAGATGGTCACTCGCGTATAATTCTGTTTTATCGCAAGCATAGAAAGTGCCTGCAGCAGCTAGCTGTAGCATTTCCTGCAGAGATATAGTAATATTTACACCAGAATTATAATTTAATGTAACACCAACAGAAGTGTAAAAGTCCGCGTGGAATTTAAAAATGGGAGTTGTTTTAAAACGACAGCATTCCACTTTGGTCTCGTCTCCGTTGTCAAACAGCCATCTACTGCAGGTAAGATATTAACCGTTCGTAACCTTTCAAAACATCTGAAGTATCCCTTTAATGTTGAAGCTCTGAGATTTTCCTGTCCCGTTTTAAAATGAGCAGACTAAACTCACACTTTTGAACGCGGTCACAACATTTCCACCGTCCTTCGGTCTCACGCTCCAGACTCTCAGGCTCAGAACCAGAACTGGATCCGATTTGGTGGAAATAAACCTTTGATTTGACTCAGATCCATTTGCGCAGATTAAAAACAGTTTCTGGGAACTGAGTCATTCTTGCAAAGCGTGAAGGAGCTGCTGGTGCCTGAAACTCCAGCAGGACTTCAACATCGAAACATTTTGAAGTAGAGATATAAATAAATGCGGCAGCTGCTGCCACTGGATCGCTGCGGTCACTATGGTAACCACGCATCGGTGTCCGTCGCTCCCTGACTGCCAGTGTAACGAGAGGCGGAAAACAGCCTCAAATCGTCACGTTTATTTTAATTATCTTTAAGGGAGTGGTGGCGCTGAGGTTGGATGGGGTGGGCCTGTGATCGGAGGATCGCCGGTTCAACTCCGACATCAGAATGTGGGTGGGATGGGTGGGGCACCCACACCTGCCTCCACCCTCATTTGCCCCACTCTGGGCCTTGGGCAAGACCCTTAAGCCCCGCCCCCTCCCGGGCATCCTATATGGCAGCTCTCTGCTCCACACAGAGGGCTGTGGTAGCTCAGTGGTCTGTGGTTGGGTCAGGAAGGGCATCCGGCATAAAAATAATCGCCAAGTCTTCATGCGACTTCGTTCGCTGCGTGAGATATGGCGAGTTAAAAACAGCCTTCACTTCCTGTTTTGAAGAAAATAATGCGAGCCAAAATTCACCAGAACCTGTAGGAGTTTGGGTTTGCACGCTCTGCCCTCTACTCAGGCTGAATTATTTTCAGCGAGACGTGACAAAAATCTGTTCTCATTGATGCAGCTGTCAGTGTTTCCCCTACCGTTACACAAACAGGGCGTCCCGCCCCGTCTACGACCCCCCACCCACCCACAATCGACAACTGTCGGTATGATGTATCATGGGGTACAATACAAGCGCGCAAGCAAAAATGCTAATGACATGCCACTATACACCCACATGATCCTGCATGTGCAGCTGGATGGCCGAGGTCATCAGAGTCTGCCTGTGAGCTGTGAGAGCTGACAAGTTTATAAAAACAAGCCTCGCACGCTGCCCGGTGCAGATTCTCGTGACTGGGCTCCATGCTTCTGTACATCTGTGTAACCTGCTGTGAACGTCTGCCCTCGCAAGTAAAACCAGTTACAAATCTTCTTGTGTCCTCGAGTGTGGCGTCTCTGAGTAACACAATGAATAGAGGATATTTTTATCCAACATAACGGGTAACTGTTCAAGACTTATTTGATCCTATTTGAACAAATTATTAACATAAATAGGTTGAATAACAGCTAATAGGTTAGCCAGGAAAAAGACAAAGATGGATGCAGTTAGAGAGAACATGGGGGTAGCTGAAGTGATGACAGAGTGAGATGGAGGAGGATGACTCGCTGTGGTGACCCCTGAAGAGGGGAAGCAAGAAGAACAAGAACACGAGCAAGAAGAACAACAAGAACAAGGACATGAAGAACAACAAGAACAACAAGAACAAGGGCATGAAGAACAAGAACAACAAGTTAACATTAACAGGTTGAACTGGATCTAAGTTCATACATTTCTGCATATCGTTTAGGATCTGTCTACTTGCTGGTACTGTGGAGCTTTAAATGAATCCAAATGTGTTTTTTTGTGGTTATCACCTGATGATGCTGCTGCAGTGCAACATTTGTGCACGTCTGAAGTTTTCTAAAGAGAAGTGATTCTCCTCTGCCTCTTCGTGCTTCAGACGAGCCCGTATGAGCGCTCCGGTACCACAACAGGAAGCAGTTTGAGCAGCGTAACGTGTTGTGGAGAAGAACGTCAAACTAAAGCGTGTTTGCCAACGCCGGCCCTCGATGTGGAGAGAAATTTCCACCTGGTTTTACTGGAACTGCTGCAGATTTTGGCAAACCCATCTGAACGCCTGAGATTTTTATGTTTCTGATTGAGTTCTGCCCAACGCAGACCTACAAACGTTCTGATGCTTGGAGGATAAAGCGCAGCAGACTGGCAGTTTCACTAAGATGTTATTAATAAAACACACCCGGAGAGCTACAGCGCGTTTAATTACTGCCAGACGTGCAGTTTGTTCAGACCGGACCCCTCTGGGGGGCCAGCTTTAACAGTTTTCAGGTCCGGGCTGGCTTTATTTTAAATAGCAGGAGTTTTATCTGGAGTTTTCCTGAACATCATTACTGTAACCCGGGCCGACCCCAGACGAGCGCCATTTCCTGGAGGTGGGTGTAACTCTTCTTCTGCTGCTAAATGTGCGTTTCTGTGCGTCAGACTTCACAACAACAGACGAAAGAATGTAAATTCAGTAATCATGTCCAAACCAAAGGCAGAAATGTAAACGCACGAGCAAAACAAAAAGCACAATTTGTCTCGGATTGAAGCTTGAAGGGAAAAAATACTTTTTGGTTTTTCCCCGTGAAGGTACGACTCAAAGAAAAACAACTCCAGTTGTTGAAAAGTTGGGACGTTGAGTAAAATATAAATAAAAAACGAACACAACGGATGAAAAACATTTTTTACAATTCAACATAATTAACACAAAATGTCTAAACGTCCAAGACCAGATGTTGAAGGTTCTGGAGAATCTGAGGAAACCAGATGTTGGGGGTTCTGGAGGACCTGAGACCAGATGTTGGGGGT